GCCCAGCTCCCAGGATCAAACCATTGTGTCTCAGCTGAGATTTTCATTTTACACAGTAATTCCCCCGAGATAGATGGACAGTGCTCATAAGGAGTGAACTTTAGACCTTGAAGTAATTGGTTTGTCAGGAACCTGTATGCACAAGTGGGTGATGATGTGAAGGAAGCCATTTTGCTGGCAGTATCTGTAAGATGTATTTTGTCATGGCTGTAGTACATGATGTCATCTGGGCATTGCAGCTTGGGGGGCTTTGTCATACGTCACTCTCATTGGATGCAGTGGCAGGACCTATTTCTTGTACCTCTGAAAATCAGACCGGGAATCTGCAGGGCTGCACCAGTAGGAACAGTTTGTGGGTTGTGTTTTATTCTTTGCATATCATGTGCTGGAATGCCAATCAGATGGATAAGCTTTCCTCTCTTAACTGTGACACAACTGGTAAATAACCATAAATGGAAATGTAAGCCTTCCACAGTGTATATGAAATAAGTTCTGGCTAAATCAGGCCTTGACAACACAACACTTACTTGGCAGTACAAACAGCTTGTTAAACAGGACATATCTATCTCGGTCACACAGTCTAGCAAGACTGTGGTGACTGCACACTTAATTTTGCATAAAGTAAGATTAACTAACCTATTTTCAGTTAGAGAAAGTGTATCACTCACTTGATAGTGCACAAAACTATTTGAATAAACTTTCTGCAGCCTTTGGACATTTTGGGGGATGTCCTTTTTAAAGCAGTTGCTTTCTCTGTTAGGTAAATGATTGATGCTTGTCCTGGCTCCCTTTATCAGTCCCTCCTTCCTGTTTCTCAGACAACAGGCAATTTTGTAAGTAAGAACTTACTTGCAGAACATCACAAGTTGCTGGCATAGCAGGAGATTAGTTATCAATTATGAGAAATATGTTGTCAGGGTATTTTTCCTGTTTGGGCTTTGTAAATCAATTTCCATTTAAGTTTGTGTGAAAATGTTTCTTAAAAATACAACTATTACCCTGTTTCACAGTAATTACGCATGTACAGCTGAAGTGAAAAACAGCCTTTCTGGGGATTTAAATACAATTTCCAGAAAACAACCTGACTGGTATCCATGAAATCATAAACATTACTCATTARAACTCTGCTACAAGGGAACCAGCTTTCCTATAAGAACATAAAATACAGTTTCTTTGCCTTTTCTAACATAGTAAAAGTTCTAACATAAAAAAAAAACTTTAATTAGTGAACTGAAAGACATGACAAATCAAGTCAGTCAAAATAGCTGCCAGTTTTTCAATTTTATTTTCTCTTTAAATTTTTTTGAACTCCTAAATAATTAACATTTTGAAACAAAATCATTGCAAGCCAAAGAAAACAATGTTGAAAATACCTCATTTTGAAGCACTGGGGTTTAAAAGTCATCTCGCACTTATTAGCAAAACAATATATTAATTGAATTGCAATTTTTCGAGTGGTGTGGATAAGCTGACATTTCATTTTTTAGAACTGTTTTTGAAAAATGCTTATTTCAGTACCTCAGCTAACAACTTATAGTAAGTGTATGGCATTGTTCATATGATAATTACATTAGGAGAGGAACTGGAGTATCCAGCTCAGTGGCAGAATGAGAATTTCAACTTCAGTATATCGCACTRTGGGGAATGGCTGAACTAATTTTGAGTATCCACATTTCTATCTCAAACCCATATTGCATGAACAACTGTAAACAGTATGTTCCCTTCTACAACTCAGTAATTATACTGTCTATGGATTGTGAGCTTAATGGCAAAACTTKGTTAGTTAATGGCACTGGTTCAATTATGCTGCAAGATTTGCAAGCTGATGCAAAATGTTTTTCCTTAACAGAGAGGAAGCTCTATTGTGATTTCTCGTATACTGGCATCAAACCAGAGTTGGGCTGGGCTTCCATAATCTGCCTTCTAGAAGTTTCATCAGTATTTTCTGCCATCTTGCAGAGGGGACATTTCAGATCACCAGGTCAACTGATTTAGAAGTAATTGTGTGGATATAAAGGGTTTCTGTTGCAATGGGACAGACTTCCTTCCTTCATGTCCACACAGGTGACAACCCAATGCCCATCTCAGTGCATGAAAAAATGGATGAAGGCACCAGCACAATGCTGGTAAAAAAGGATGGACAAATACAAAAATTATAGCTCTTAAAATCATTAACACTGCCATGTTGACGCAAGACAAATAAGTTATGGTAAATATTTTAAGGTTCAGGAATTAAAAAGCTTTAAGAATCAAGAAAGAACCCAAGTAGGGGGCAAAAATGTTCTTGAACTAGATCGTGTATGTCAAACCAAGTTTCTAAAATTGATAGTCAGAAAGCTAATTGTTTTAGTTGGAAAGAGAACAAATTCAACATGTATCCTGTCACTCCATTAAGCTGGTTTTTATTTTAATAACCTTTAAAAAACTCACAACACAGTTTGGTAATACTAAGAATATGTTTAGCTGTTGTTCTCCAAGAAGACATTACAGACTTTTAATTTCATCTTAAACTGGTAATTATTTATTTATTGAAGATACACAGCAGTAACCAGTTAATGCACTGCAATATTGGCCATTTACAGAGACCTCCACTTTTGAATGACATCTGCTGAGAATGGGACTGCTTGTGGGACTTGYGTTGCTATAAAACAGAAATTGGTGCACTCACCCATGGATAAATTTATCAACATAATGCTAATCTGAGTGCTGGAAAAATAAAGAATTTATTTWAAAAAGTTTAAAAAATGTTCATTTTCTTCAGCTTTTGTACCAAAATGTTCAGACTCTCTACATTAACTTTCTCTACATTAACTTTACATTAACTTTCTCATGCTTTGCACTACTGCTCTGAAGTCTGGAAGTATTACAAGAATCACAATGAAAGAAGGGTCATATAAACTTTTGGTAGGACTTATCTAAAGCAGAGCTTTGAGTTTGAACTGAAAAAATTTACAGTGCTCATTACAACCCATCACACTTCTGGTAGTGTCTTTGTAAAGGCCATGCTTGAAAAGACTGTAAAACAAACTTTTTCATTATTATATATAAATTACATGGGTGGAGGCAAGCAATTCTGTAAAATTGACACTGATTGTCCCTCTTAAATGTACATTCTGGTAATGTTTGAAGAGTTTTTAGAATTGATTCAAATGGATATATTTTCTTCCACATTTCTTCTATCGGTATGAAAAACACAGTCTATTCTTTATTTCAAAGATTATCACATTTCTTCTTCAGTCATGTATCTTCCTTTTTCTCAGATCTCATCATCTGTTCTTTGCTGTTTCCTTGTTGGGTACTTGTCTGGTAGATAGCAGTTACCTGATTTCATTTCAGCTTTCACTGATGCACACTATATGTCAYGGTCCCATTGCTGGCAGTGCCCAAAGTTTGTTAAGATGGAGGTACCTCATTTATATAAGTGTGCTTTGCTTCCGTTAGGGATTTGAAAACTGGCATTGCCACAGGACAGATTGTTTTCCTTTTGTTGTTTAAAATGTACCCTGAATCAGTATAGGAAACCACAATCACTACAGGCAAGGTCTAACAAAAGAGAGAGAGATTAYGGCATCCCGGTATGTGCTCTGGCCCTCTGCTAAGGTAAATGGCCCATTATAAAAGTGTCCTGCCAGCAGAGCTAGAATTCTTGTATCTGCTTAAGCGATTGCTTYAAACTGAACTGCTGGGCCTTGCCTACCATAGCATGTGTAGTGTTTTACTGTGACTGCCAAAGAGATGGATGYGAAGTAAATAATTATATCTTAAACTGTCACAGTCTATCTGCTACAAACCACTGAGGAGTCTGCAGAAATAGGGCTCAAAACCAGGACTGAGTTCCTCTGAGTAGCATTCATCAGGTAACTCTCACCAACTCTTAATGAACCACTGAATGAACWACTTAATGAACTCTTAACCTCTGTACAAGGAAAAAGTGCTTTACCCCGTGTTTGCCTGGCCACCTCCTGTCMTGCAGCTAACATACTGCTTTGTTGAGCTATGACATTCCACTGTCCTTCTGAGTGGTGTATGAGCAGGCTCCTTTGTAGAAACCAGAAAAATGCCTTACAAAACTATTTTTGCCTGCTCAGATGCAAGTCTACACCAGGGATTTCCTAAGCACCAGGATGACATCGAGGTTACATGACTRTTTTTTCCAACTCTCATACTGAGAGCTGTCCTGGCAAAAAAATGCTGTGTGGGCCCGGTGTGAAAAGATCATTTGGATGGAAAATTTCAGCTGATGTTTGACAGTCACAGGCATCTATAAACACAGCCTTTGTACTGGGAAATGTCAGGCATCTTTGCCATCACTAGTGCCGCCACCTCTGCATTCATTTAACAGAATGAACCCACATCAATGAATTAAGCTTTACCATACATCTGTATTATAGAGAGGGTGACAGAGAGTCAGCCTGGAGCGAAACCAAGGCGATCAGTTAGCAAGCCCCTCTTTAAATTTAAAAATTGCTTTTGAACAATGCAGTAAGAAAAAAAAAAAAAAATCGATTCCCTTTGTAAGTTCTTTAATTGCCTGCTCCCTGTTTCCTGGCCTGGACAGCATCACCGTCCGGCCTCAGTGCAGCCGGGATTCTCCGCTCCGTGCGGGTGCTGCCCTCGGCCGGGCGGTGCTGCCGCCGTGCCCGGGGGTCGGCGGGGGGGCCCGGCGCTGACAGACCGTGATCCCCCCGAGCAAGTGTGCGGCGCTGGCTCGCCCGCTCCTCGCTGCCTCCAGTTACATCCCTGGCAGGAGCCCGCGCCTCTCGGCTTCGTTTCCAGGGTTATTTTTGGCCGGAGCCGCCGCACACTGACGGCAGCGGGCAAACCAGCCGCGGGCGCCTTTGCGGGCGGCGAGGCGCCGGCGGGGCCCCCGGCGGGGCGGGCGGGGAAGGGGCGGTGCGCACCCCCGGGCCCGCCCCGGCTCCCCMGCGACGCCGAGCCCCGGCCGGTGGGCCGCCGGGGGCTGAGCCGGCTGGGCCCCGCCCGGGGAACGCCTCTGGGCTCCCCACCGCTTGGCCGGGGCCGGCGCTGCCCAGCGGAGCCGCAGGCGGGCGGGCGGGCGGGCGGCAGCCGCCATGGAGCGGACCCCCATCCCCGTGCTCACCGTGCAGACGACGCCCTACGAGGACCAGCGCCCGACCGGCGGAGGGGGCCTGCGGCGGCCCACGGCGCTCTTCGAGAGCCAGCGCAACTACCTGCCCAACTTCGTGCAGAGCCTCCTGTCCTCCGTCGACCTCCGCGATCGGCAGGGCTGCACCATGGTGGTGGGCAGCGACGGCAGGTACTTCAGCAAGACGGCCATCGAGATCGTCGTTCAGATGGCCGCGGCCAACGGGGTAAGCGGCCCCCTCGCCCTCCCCGCCGCCCCCCGGCGGGCCCTGCTCCCTGTCCCCCTGGCAGCGGGACCCGCGCTCTGCCCGCTCCGCGCTCCCTTCCAGTGTCATCCCGGACAGCGCTCCACAGAGCCCGCAGGAGCTCCCCGGGCCGCTGTGCTCCRTGCTCGGCAGGGGCCCGAGCCAGCCCCACACGTGCCGCTTCGTGTGTCCCCCGGGCTGTGCGCTGGGCCTTGGCGACGGGACGGCTCCGTCGCGGTGTGACGGTGGCGATGGTGACAACCTCAGGACACTGCCAGCCGTGCCGTGCTGTTTCACACCTTATTTTAGAAGGAGGAAGGCTTGGGAGGCAGCCGAAGCGTAGAGTTCACTCGGAGGTGGGAAAATGYAGCAGAGTTAAAAATAAGTACACAGGAAACAAAGGTATCGGACATGCATCTAGGGCTCAGGATATTGTAAAAATATTAAAGGAAAATGGTACTGTTGAAGGAAGAGGAATTCAGTATTTTTCAGCATCTTAGAAAAATAATAGGTTTTTTTTTTTTTTTTTTTTTTTGTTTTTTTTTTTTTTTTTTTATTTTGATCACTAGTAAATTATAAAATACAGGAAGACAGGAGTGGCAGAAACCTCTGGCCAGATGGGATACATTTTTTTCTTGTGTAGTTTTGAAAGTAGGAAATAACTTGGGATGAAAACTTACATCTTTTGCTAGATACACGTGCATTCATGTGTGGATGTGTATACGCAGAAAACTGAAAACACTAGATGATGCAGGCTWGAAGTTTCTGTTCAAAATAGAGTTGAAACTGTTATCTCTTGTTATGATACCTAGATTGATCGACCAGATTTGGCAAAAGTAGTGATACAATTTTATAGGGTTTCTTTCTGTAGGGAATTTTCTTTTCAAAAGCCCAATAGTTCAAATGCAGTCCTTTCAAAAGATGTTTGAGTTTTGTAATCAGTCTCCATATGTGTTTCAATTTTCCCTGCTGATTTGTTGTCACATACAAGCTATATAGAGTAACCAATCTTGTATGAATAATGAGTATTTTAAATTTACTTCTAAGCGTGTTCTCAACATGCTGATAGTATCAAGCAGTTGCTGAGTGATGCCTGCGATTTCAGAGAGACTGTCTGTGTTACATACTCTCTACCTAGTGTGAAACCACTGTTCACATAGGGTCTTGTAGAGGCCTATGTGGAGTTTATGTGGACCAGGGTGTAGGAGGGCGATGGGCCAGACACTGGTGAAAGTGGGGACAGCGATGAGCCTGGCACAGTGGTTCCATGTGCAGTGACAGGGAAGGCAGCATGCAGGGAATGGCTGTAAGGCACAAGGAGTGAGCTGGACTGTGGGGAGTTGCGGGGAAGGTGGGACAGGGCTTGGAGCAGTGCTGTTCCCTTACTCGTTTGCCCATGTAGCTCAGGGGAGATCGTCTCACCGATGGAATTGTATGTGTTGACCAGGTGGGATAGTGCAGCAACAGCTAAAGCAAGAGCCCAGCAGCAGGAACTGCCCTGCTGGGGCTAAGGTCCTTTTCCTTGGTCCTTGGCATGCTGGTAGGAGCTACAAGAATGGGTTACAGTGCAGGGTGACCACAAGGATTGGGCTGCTGAAACAGACAAGAAGTTTAGGATTTAGAAGAGCAGGAGCTTCTCAGCCAAGTTATGCTGACAAATTTCTGCTGTCACCTGCCTCCTTGCTGCTTCTGTCACRTTCCCCATCTTGCTTGAGTAGCTTTTCGACTTCAGGACATTTCCAGTTTGGCATGTTTCTGGCACCTTGCTGTGGTAATGCTTCCCCTTTGTTAAGTTAYTACAAGTTTCTTAGAAACAGTTTCTCCTGAGTGTTTTCTGAAGTCAACCCCCAAATTTTTCTGCTGATAATTCCCACAGATATCTGAATTCATGTATGATTATCTTGCTGATGACACAGTCCTCAGAATATCAGGAGCCCAGCTGGTAGGGAGCTACTGACATTGAAAAGGCTTTCCATTTCCATGTTCAAATGCTCTGTTCCCTCTCTAACATCTTCACCCTGCTCACCCTCACCTCTGTTTCTCTCAGACACCATGCGAATGCATGAATCTCATGTTGCCTTTATATGTTTWATTTTTTGGCTGTTAAAATACACCTGCTGGGAAAATATCTAAATCTCCTTAATAGCATTGTTTAGTGCTGTGCTATGTAAGTAGGAGGAGAGGAAGACTCCTGAGAGCAAAACCTCTCCCTGTGGATGAGGTTAATATCGTGGGAAAGCACATAGCCAGTATCACAGGGAAAGGAGTGAGCTGATGTAGGCTGGATCARATGAAATGTGGGGAAGCCTTGAAGGTGCATTGAAAATTTTCAGCTGCCCTGAGTGCCAGGAGAGTAATAGCCTAACAGTGCTGATAAACTGAACTTTAATCTCCTTCCTGGAAGACACATACCGCGTGTCATGGTTAGTTGTGCCTGCTGAGTACAAAAATAAAAGTGATTTTCTATTATCAAGTGCAAATGGTTTGCCCTTTAGAGTTGCTAGGTTCCTCTTGTTCTAACTTGGTGACTCATCCCACATTCCCCCTGTGCTAACAGCCCAGCGCGGCTGGCATAGTCTCCAGTGCAAGGAATGAGATGAGGTCCCCCGCTCAGTCAGCTGCCAGTGCTTGGCCTGCCTTCTGCTCATCCTCAGTGTCGAGGGCTCTGCCCTCCATCTCGGGGCTGTGGGTGGATGCCCCACAGCCGCAGCCTGCACAGGCTTTCCTGGGCGGCAGCAGATACAGGCTGGCCCCTGCTCTGCTRCTGCAAGTGGCATATGTTCTGCCAGCTCATTCTGTTCAGAGCCGAGGGCTCGGGCAGGGTCGCCTTTGATGGGGCACACAGCTGGGGCTGCAGCAGACACGTTTGGAGAAGGGACTGCATGTCCTGTGAAGGTGGGGGAGCGTGAGGAAGGTCACACAGAGCTGTGCTGCTGAAGTGGTGGGAGTGGGGGAGTGAGGCTCTTTTTCTTTAGTCACCTGTGTCCCACAACAGTAGTGTCTGTGGCCCTTAGTGTCTGGAAGAATTGAGGTAAAAGGCTCCACAGCTGCAGTACAGTTCCTCAACGAATTAGATGCAAATATTCCATTAGACCCACCAACTGGATGGCGTGTCTCATTTCTGATGGAAAGTTTAGAATGGRTTTAAATGAGAAACTTGTTTGTGAGTCTCAGTGGCAGATCGGAAGCTAATGATCTTACACTGAATGTGGAAGGTCATGACAACATGACAGAGAGAGGTTGCTGGGTATTGCTAGTAAAGTTTGAGAAGGCAGGAATGCAAAAGGTCATCTTCTCTTGGTTCTGAATTTCTTCACTTTAGAAGTTTGAGAAGGCAGACAGCTAAGTTGCAGGTTGTCTTCTATGTAAAACCATTTTGGTTCTATTTTCCATGACCTTCCATGCAAATCCTGTCCTCCATGGGTCTGTGTGATATTTATTTGCTTCTGCACTGAGTGTGGTGTTCAGTCATCTTCAGGATACTGTAGTAAAGGATAGGAAGGCACTAAGATGTTCAGGATATGATCAGCTTGCTTCATGTTCTTTCAAGTATAATTGACTGAGGCATATGAGAGATTACTGGGAAAAATAATTTAAAAAAGCATTAAATGACTGCATGGTAATCAGCTAAATCGTCTGAAAATGCACAGCTGCAAGTGGTAATATTGCATAAAAGTGTTCTTGTCAAGTACTTGTTAGAATACTTTATTCTTTCTGTTTCCTCTGGGTCTTTGTCTGCTGTTGCTGCTAAAAGTGCAGTGATGAAATAGAATGTGGCGTAGGGACACAGTATTAAAAGAGACGTTACATGCCTGTGATCTTGTAGCTGTGCAAGTTTTTGAATTCCAAAGATAATCTTTCCATGCTATGAAAATGTCCAAGATCTTCAGAAGGATGTTTCTGGAACTTTAATTGTGAGTCAGTATGTGGGTAGCAGTTTGGTTATTGTTTTAGCCCAGATTGTGAGAAGTCTGTAAAATCATTAATTCATTAAAGAATTAYTGAAATGCTAGTTTAGTATTTGGTTCAAAATGAAGAAATTCAGAACCAAGAGAMGATGACCTTTTGCATTCCTGCCACCAAAATGAAGAAAGCAAAGGAAGATGGGTGGCACRTATACACCTCTAAGGTCCTCAGGGAGTTTTTTGGAAGCACTGATGAGCCTAATATAAGGTGGAATTGTACAGCAGCCACTGCGAATRAAATACCAGTGTGTCATTCGTTTGCAAGATCTTAATTTGGAATACTAAATACTGCAGTATTTCTACAGTATACAAATCAGTATAGTAAGTATTATTTCTAAGTAGTATAGAAATAATAATCTTGTGGCTGAAGGCAAATCAAATTACTCATGTTCATATTAAATTTGTCATCCAGAAGAATGGGAAAACTGGCTTGTAGAGCATCTGTTGAATGGGGAGAAATGAAATATGGTGAAGAGATATAGTGCTAGGTAATTTGTACATTCTGAATAAGTATTCTACAGACTTTTAAAAATACAGTTTTGTTGTGGATGAAGACAAAACCTTAAACTCACTAGTTTAGATATAGAAATACTGAAAACAGACTTGTGATAAGCCTGCATGCAAGTATAAAAGCGTTTATACTTGATTTGCTCGAGGTAGATTCAGTGTGGTTGTTTTCAAGCATTTTGTAAAATGCTATCGCTGTCRTATCCCTTTTGTTTACCCATACACAATACTGTTTTAAGAGCTGGCACCCATTTCTGACAGCTGTATTTGGAAGATTGAGTCATTGCACTTGCTTTCTACATGCTTCATAGTTTAAAAAAAGGAGGGACAACAGTCAAAACAAACAATTTCAGCATTTTTTAGTCATATTTATCTTTCCATAATAATTTTTGTTTGTTTCTTAACTTTTAGCTCTCCTGTTTTCTAGCAACATTCSATAGGCTTCAAAAATATCTACAAAAATTCTGAAAGGGGAAGAAGGTAGACAAACAACCCTTCTTTCATCAGAGCTTGAGGCAGAAATCTCAGAAGTGCATTTTCTGCACATTTTTTWAAGTTTGAAAGCAGATCCCGTGATTCTCAGTGGAAGAAAAAAGAGTAGATATAGTTTGTGATTGGTGAGAATTACCAAGAAGTAGCTTATGCTTATGGTAGAAGTTGATAATTTCTTTGTAATCTTAATTTTAAGTTCACAAATAGTTCACAAAACAGGCTAAATAAATAATCTCTTAATCCTTTGCTTTCTAAGTAATGCTCTTCTAAGTAACCATTAAGGCTCTCACATGAGTGCCAGAGAAAGGTCATCTGTGTATGAAGGAACAGCTCTTTATGGACAGGAGGCAGGTAGTGACACCTCCTGTGCTGTTGCTTTGCCAYACAGCCTGTAGAGCTATCAAATCTCCTTCAAACTAGAGAATGAAACCTGAAGTTCAACTCCACTCTGTTTTTAGATGGGGAGGGGGAAGGATTCAGTGTTCTGCCTCTCCCTCTGCCTCCCCTGCCTGCCCTACCCCTTCCCAAACTACTACTCAGTAGTGGTGGTGGTGAGGGGGGTTTATTTGATTTTTTTATATGGATGTTATTAAGAAAATCCAAGCTTTGGCAATATCCTTTTAAGCTCCATATGCAGCTGCCTCAGTTCTCATCTGTAACATTTAACCTCCCCTTCTCCCCTTGTTTTTTTATGTMTTCATGTTTCTCAGAAATTGGAACTCTTCTGTATTTCTTTGTAAATACATTTCTTGTTGGCTCCTAGATTATTTATGTTAAGCTGAAACTGTAGTATCTGTGTAGGGGATGAAGGCAAGGTTTTGAAATTGGAACCTTGCAGTGGAACTGCACATAATACCAAACACATTGAGTCAGTGTTTAATAACACCACCTGAAAGGTTTTTTTTTTTTTTTATTTTAAGAATGGTGGGAGCTTCCCTTGCTCAGCTGTGCCCTGGGAAACACACCCTGTTCATTTGGAATAGCTAAGGAGTCACTGATGGCTGAAGGAGGAGCAGCGTTTTCTGTGGGGCTGACATCCAAAGGTGTCTTGGCAATAAAAGTGGAACTGCAAAAGACAGCYGGTTACAGTGTGTAGTGATACTTGTGTTCGCACTGGAAGGCTGCTCTGTGAAAGGCAATTCTCCTTCTGTTCTCTTTTTGTTAAAGCTTCAGCCCTGCACAGTGCATCCCCACAGTCAGCCCTAAACAATACTGATCTCTGAAGGGATTTGCTGGTTTGTGTGGTTACCTGGGAAGTTTTCATAGCTGGATGACAGCCTAGTGCTATGCTTGGGAGCTTTGCAAGTCCCTATCATTCCTGTGCTCTTTACTGTCACGCCACAGGGGTTAAACATGCCAGGATACAGCGTTTTTTGTCTCCAGTGCTCCGGATGGGCATGCAAGTAACGCATATACATATATTTCCTAGCAAAAGAATATGTTCCATACCACAACTTTATCTATCCTGTACAAATATGCCCATATGTGTGTGTATTTTTGTACAAATTTTCAAAAWTTTGGTTCTATTCAGAGTACTTGGCCTTTTCTTTTTTCATGTAGATTGGCAGATTGGTTATTGGACAGAATGGTATCCTATCCACACCTGCTGTTTCGTGTATCATCCGAAAGATCAAAGCAGCTGGTGGAATTATTCTGACAGCTAGCCACAGTCCTGGGGGACCTGGAGGAGAATTCGGAGTCAAGTTTGAAGTTGCCAATGGAGGTATGGGTTTTGTAAAAAACATGCTACAACATTGCATTTTGGTATSCTGTAAGTAGGCTTTACAAGCATAACTAGCTCTCTGTAACTATGTGTTTTTCATTTACTCTGTTGAAACTGTGAAGAACATAGACCTATCCTTTAAAAAAAATAAATAATAGAAGTATATTTGCCTGCATGTGAAAATCTCCATTAAATGTTCATTGAAGCCCTTGGGGTAGCTGCAAGAGTTCTATAAACAACAGTCTTGCCATCCTGTGTTTACAGTGTTTTTTGTGGTCTTCCAGATCACCATAACCATTCTGATCCTTTTGTAAAGATGTCTATGAGGGAGCTCTGTTTTCTTCCTATTTTGCTTGTCTTGGCATTTAATTTAAAGCATGTAATTTCAGAAGTGCTGTAAGCAGTATAACTCATTGTTTTGTTAGAAGAAAGTGCTTCTCTACGTTTACCCAGGAAGTAACTGGTCTTATCCGGGTCGATAGTTGTATCGTTTTGCTACTGCAATTCCAGCATGGAGTAATGGAATTTGTGTATATAGCTRTTGTCTTGTTTTTCAAAATTGACAACTTTAACACATGTAGGTATGTTATCCATTCCCTATGTTTAACATATATGTACACTCATAAAACATGATGATGGTTGCTGGTACCTTGTATACCTCACACATGTAGAGTTCTTTCCATCTAAAAAAATGAACAGAAAGTGCTTTTAAAGTGTCTCTTTCCCTACTTTGAAGGTGAGAGAACTTGAGAAGGGGGAGTGCTTTTTCTTCCGACCCTTGTTTAATTGAAAAATATACATGGTTAAATGAGTGTGATTTTACAAACAGAATAGGCTTGAATCCCAAAGAGATTAAAKGGAGTGTGTAAGGTCAGCCAGTGAGAAAGCCAGGGTCACAGCATGCATATACCAGAGCCAGACCATTAGATGCATTAGCACTCTATAAACTTTGAAACACCACATGTGTCTGAAATCTGCTTGATAAATGGGTAACAACTGGTGGGGCAGTCTTTCTAGTGTGCTTTTTAAAGAGAATTCAAAAAGGCTGTTAAGCTTTATATATGAAACACTCCTCAAACRCAGGTTGCAAGGTTCAATTATTTATGTTAATCAGCAGGTGCATAATGAAGAGTAGTTGGTTTTCAGTTCCAGGTGAGAAAATATGGTTTAAGTATTAGGCAAGACTTTTAAACTAAGACAGTGGTTCGGCCCAGCAGCGATTGCTTTGGGAAAGTTATTGTTACTCTATGTTCTTGCTCAGTCTGTTTTGCAGATCCAGGTCGAGCTGCAGTGGTTCGCTTCTATAGCTGTAGAAGAGAATGTAGAGTCACTATGATATATCCTTAGCTGGAAATACAAGTAGAGAGCACATCCATCTACTAAGTTAATTTGGAGCTAATGATGTCTTCACCCTTTGGATGGGYTTGGATTAGATGAGTAAGAAGTAATTTTCCTAAGGTAAATGAAGAGTTAACTGGCTGGTTTTGGATGTATTGGACTGCATCTGAGAAGATACTGATTTATGTGGCAATGCACTTCATGTAGCAGCATTGCTGGGGGAGTGGGAAGTTCACATTGAAAAAGCCTCCAAAGATTCTTTGGATTAGAAGACAGAACACATGCAAGGGAAGAAAGCRAATAATTTTTATAGTGAAAGTGTGGCTTTAATATAATCGATGGAGAGTCAGTTAAGCCAGAAATTACTTTTGTTGCAACTGAGACTCAACCTTTGCCCTGCATATGACATTGTTTGTCCAGTAATTTGCACATGAAGTCAGCAGCTTTTCTTCGGTTGACAATAAATCTTTGAAAATAAAGCCATTTTTCAGGCTTTGGCAATGAAAGTAATTCACAAGTAAGATGTGTTTGCTGTTTCTGATTGATATAACTGATCCAGGTCATAATTGTGAACTGTTGAGCAATTAAGGTGTTTTCCAATGAAGATAAATTTCATTSAGGTAGTGGAGGGAATCTGCAATTCGGCACCACTGTCAAATGGTAAAACTTCTAAAAATAGTATTTTTTTATAATGAAATAATGCAAAACACCAGGCTATCGGATCTTCACAGATTTGCACAAAGTCCTATGAAACACCAGAAACTGCTGCTGAAGAAAAGGCTTTCCTTTAATAGCTGTTTCGAGGWTTTATGCAGAGTTAAAAAAAACAGTCTTTGACCAATAAGCCCAAACAAATATGACTGTGGTTACCTCATCCTCTCTGTCCCTGGCCAATTGATTTAAATAGCCTKTGTGAATCAAAATATTGTGAGTAATGCAGTGTAATTCCATGTCTTATTTTTTTGAAAAATGCTTAAAACCGGTATTGTAATGAAAGAACAGACCTTGTTTACTRTAGCAGTTTGTTTTTATTTATTCCATAGTAACTCCAGTATATTCAGAAAAATGTTTGCTGTAGCCATCCGTTTTAAAATAGGAAACCTTCATTTAAAAGAAATGACCCACCACATTATTTTTTCTTAYAGGACCTGCTCCAGACATGGTTTCAGAAAAAATCTATCAAATCAGCAAAACCTTGGAGGAATATGCTATTTGTCCTGATCTTAGAGTTGATTTATCACGTCTAGGAAGACAAGAATTTGATCTGGAGAACAAATTCAAACCTTTCCGAGGTATCAGTGTGTGCTTTTATGCATGCTTAGTCCATTGAGTCTAAATAGTAATACTATGGCAGAATTATAATGGGTAATTATATAACAGAACTTCAGTTTTTCAAGATGCCTTAATAAAAGTTACCAAAGTAAAAGGCAATATAGAATTGTGGAATGGTTGATGGTGGAAGGCACCTTAAGGATCATATTGTTCTAACCCTGGTGTCATGGGCTGGGAAGCCTTTCCTTAGACCAGGTTGCTCAGATTCCATCCAGCTTGGCCTTGAGCACTTCCAGCAATGGGGCAGCCAATTCTCTGAGCAACCTGTTCCAGGGCCTCATCACCCTCATAGTAAAGAATTTATTCCTAGCATCTGATTGAAATCTCTCCTTCTGTTTACAACCCTTCCCCCTATATATACCTGTTTTCAACTACTATAGTTTTTTCAACTACTATATACCTGTTTTCAAAGTCTTTGTATAAGCCTGTTTCAGGTCCTGGAAGACTGCTATTGCATCTCTTTAGAGCCTTCTCTTTATGTGGAACAGCCCAGGTCTCTCAGCCTGTCCTCATAGGAGAGGTTCTCCACTCCTCTGATCATCTTTGTGCCCCTACCTTGGATCTGCTCCAACAGGTCTAYGTCTTTCTGGTATTGAGAGCCCCAGAGCTGGATGCAGCCCTGCAGGTGGGGTCTCACAGAGCAGAGCAGAGGGGCACAATCCCCTCCCTGGCCCTGCTGCCCACCCTGCTTTGGATGCAGCCCAGGACACGTTTGGCTCTTCGGGCTGTGAGTACCCGAAGTACCGGGGTCATGTTCAGTGTTTCATCCACAAAAGCCTCCAAGTCCTTCTCTGTAGGGCTGCTCCCTGTGAGCTCTTCTCCYAGTTAGTACTCACGGCTATCTGGGATTGCCCTGATCCAGGTGCAGCACATTGTTGGACTTACTGAACCTTATGAGATTCTTATGGATCCACTTGTCAAGCTTGTCCAGGTCTCTCTGGATGGCATCCTCTCCTTCTGTTGAATTAACTGCACTGCTCAGGTTTATATCATCTGTAAACCTGCGGAGGATGCACTCATTGATGAAGGTATTAAGGAGTTGTCCTCCCAAGACCGAGCCCTAAGGGAACCCACTCCTCACTTGGACACAGAGCTRTTGACAACACTCTGGCTGTGTCCACCCAGCATACATCTTATCCATTGAGTCGTTGTCCATCCATGAGATCCATGTCTCTCCAATTTGGAGATAAGATGCCATGCGGCACTGTGTCAAAGAACTTAAAGCAGGCTATGTACATGGCATTGATCTGTCATTCATCATCTGAAAGGTCAAAGCAGCTGCTGGCATTACTCTAACAGCTAGCCGCAGTCTCAGCACAGCACCCCCACCCCTCCTTCTCAGCCTGTCTCTTTTGAAAAACTTGTAGCCCTCAATTGCATTGCTCCAGTCATGTAACTCATGCCACTATGTTTCTGTGATAGCAGTTAGGTCAGAGTTTTCTAATTGCACTGTTGAGGTTTCAACTCCTTTTGCTTGTGTCCAGTGCTGAGTGCATTTATRGGTAGTATTGTGTTTGTTTTGCACTTAAGGAATCTGAATTACAGACCTTTAAGTGCATCAGGTCTTATCTTTCAGCCARATATCTTTGCCAAGTTATGCTTTTATGCTTGCTAATGGTTAAACACCAAACACAAACCTTTTGGATTAGGAATGCTTTGCTTATTGAAGTCTAAGTGACAAAAGAGTAAGTGAAATTCTCAGTTTATTCATTCTTTGTTCACACTTTCTGAAAAGTGGAATTTGTRAGGCACTATCCATCCAGTGACTGCAAATGTGAAGGGATTGCTTAAGCACATGATTAATTTTAAACATGTGAATACTTTTCTGCTTACACCTGATTTAAAGTTATATTACACAGCTGTTTTCTTGAAGGTGTCAAAAACAAATCAAGGCATCCTGACATGTATTTAAAATTTCATGTGTATTTCATATATTTCAAATACTATCCAGTCTGTGTGGCTTCAAGAACTTTTYTGCATTCCTGATGCCCTAGTATTTAAAGCCATTTTGTTTTCACCCAAAATTCACATTTCAAGACAATTTATGTTTTTAGAAATTAAGTTTTTAATTATCAAAAGCCCCTAAATTATAGATTCAATGGGGTTATTTATTTTATTGCAAAGAACGTGTTTGGTGTTTTTAGGCAAACAAAAACCAAAGAGAATTCCAGCACCACTCTGGAATCATAGAATTGCTACAGTATTAAATTTTGCTTTTTAAACTTTATCTTGCCAAATAGTATTTTTCTAAATGAAAATGAATTCCCCATATATGTATAAAAGTATATACAAGTAGTTGCAATTTTTTGGTATTTTTTTTCTAAGAGAAAATAATTTCCCTATCATGTCTTCCAAGAATACATCAACCTGAGACAGTAGAGCTACCAGGAAACCCTGCTGAAGCAATGTAATTGGCTTGTAAATGCATGAATAAATACGGTTTACACAGATTTGAATGCAGATTGAAATTGCTGAAAGAATGAAAATAATTTAAAAAGTAATGTAAGGTACTATCTGTTGTATATAAAACTTGTCCTTTTTCAGTTGTGTGAGYTTACTCCTGGGAATCAAGGCTACAGGTGGCTGAATAAACTGAGATTGGGTTTGGCAGGAGTTAAAATAATTTTTAGACTTCAATCCTACATGTACTTTGTCTTCAAATGTTTACATGTGTGAACAGCTCCACTGGAGTTGCCACATTTGTTCATGTGTGTAAAGCTTAGAGCCTACTCAAATGCTGCTGGAGCAGGGCATAGATGATGTGAAATAATATAATCTTAGTGAATGTTTGAGACTTTCAACCTTACTGTAGAATTGACTCTTTCTCAGATAGGTTTTACAGATTGTTTTTCAGCCTTGACAACTTTTTTTGTTTCTTCAAGTGTGTTGTCGCAGTCCATTCTAAGTGTTTTTCTCAGGTTCAAAAAATGTGTATTTCATTTCTGTGTTRCTGTAAAGAAAAGTGTTAGTGTGAGGTCAGTGTTTCTGAGCAAAATTGGATGAGATTCTAAGTAATAATTTACCTTTTCAGTAAAATGTTTCAAGATACTTATTTAACCAGATGAAAACACTTTTGTATGACATATGCTTTTTCATTTGATTGGGAAAAGTAATTCATTCCAAGATGACTGAGAAGCATAGCTTTTGACAGTTTGGTATGTGCTTTCATTATGACAGACTTATTTTCATTAATTCTTATTTGTTTGATGTGTTGCATCCAAAAGAACTAGAAAAATTGTAGTGCTCTGCTTGTATGAATGTGTATTTCAAATTATGAAGACCTTAGTGAAAAACCAGATGCTGTATCTGAGTCTTGCTTTCCTAAATCAATGAGATCTACAATGCAAAAGTGTAGTTTGTTGCTCTATGGCAAGCTGAACACAGGTATTGTGGATACCAGAATTTACAAGAATTGGCTGTATATCTGTCTGATGGAATGATRCAGCTGGATACTGCTGTCACATAGAAGAATAGAACCTCTGGTGTCAACTTGTCATGGACATCTTCATACTCTGAGAATGAAGCTATTTATCTTGCAAAGTTTTTTAGGGTTTAGTTGTGTGCTCTGACTTTAGTGGGTTGCGCAGAAGAGARGTGGAAGAGAGAACTTGGCTTGTGTGAACTGTAGTCACTTTTTTCTGTGTAATTTTTCTAGTGGAAATTGTGGATTCTGTGGAAATCTACCTCAATCTCCTTCGAAGTATTTTTGACTTCAATGCTATCAGAAATTTGCTGACCGGACCCAATCAGATTAAAATAAGGATTGACGCAATGAATGGAGGTATGAACTCAAATGCTAACAGGACAGAATCGTAGGTATACTGAAATAACTTCCCACTAAAAGTTGTATACTGCAGTGGTTTCCCAATAACAGTMCAGCATATAAAAGTCAGACTTTTATGTAAAGTTAAGGATAATAAGAAAGGATTTGAACCTTATACTACCAACAAAGGCAATCTTAACRATGGGTTAGATCTGTTACTAGGCAAAGAGGTTTATCTTACATGATCAATAAATAAAGGCATATGTGCCCAATAAAACTTTTCTTTCTGCCTTTGGAAGCAAGCAAGATGAGGTAAGCTTGCCATGACAGGGTGATGAGGTAAATTGCAATGTCCAGTGACTGAGTAGGTTACACGGCAGTCTCCACTAAGAGGAAATTCGAAATGATGTAAAACTAGTTAAGTCTGAATAAATAAGTTAGGTGAGACCTCTWTCTCACTAGTGTTGAAAGTGAACAAATTTCAGTGTACTGTGAACAAGTTGAAAGTGTCGCAGAAGACAGGTAGGGGAAGACAACAATGGTGTGCTGATACTAAAAACCACAAACTGTGTCGCTTGGGGAAACACAGATCAGGATGAGATCTATTTTAGGCTACACTATGAAAATGTAAATAAAGATTACTACAGATAATGAGTTGAAGGAGTGTAAGTAAGAGTGTTCAACATTATCTTAYGGAAAACAGATAAACCAGGTTTCATTCCTTAATGGGATTACAAAAACAGACCAATAAAGGGGGCTGGATAGACTTAGAAAACTTCCRTAAAGCATTTTGTCCAGTACAGTTCGAAATACCATAGAGAGTTTACAGTAGTGTTAACACMCAGCTCACTGTGGCCAAGGATTACAGTCTCATCCAATCAGTGTAAACACCCAGTTTTTCCAAGCTGTGTCAAAAGGGCAGGTGGTGTCTTTGAGCGATGCAGAGGGAGCAGTGAGGAAGGCGCTGTCTCTTGGCAATTACATGTTGCTAAAATACCTTACAGAGCTCTCGTGTCCAGTCTGTTCCTGAGTGTTAAGAATTTTTGCATGTTGTCAAAAAGATGCATGGTCTTAGGGTTAGAAAAACTGATACGACATACAAACATTTTAAAGGACTGAGTTTATTTACTTTATWTACATGGTGATAGAGATTTGGCTTTATGACCTTGCATCTCAGTGGAGAGATAGCCTTACTATAACATAAACTACAAGAAGATTAAGTGTATACAAGAATGTTTCTTTGTACTACAAAGAAAGTAGRTGTTTTGGGGGATTTTTCTGCAGAAAAAGTGTTTTTCTGACTTCTATTCTGAAAATTACCAAAAAGAATTAATAGAGAGAGAAGTTGAATCAAAGCAAACTCTCCTGAAATGTTGCTTGCGTGTTTATGYGTAACAGTGAATAACCTTTGAAGTAATCTATCAAAAATATTTGGGGTTTGCCYTTCTCTTGATGACATCTGATAAAAGGACTTTCTAGATGAGACACATTAGCCAAAAGTGAGCCATTAGCCACAATATAGTGAACATTACAGAGGATCACATGTGTATGTTGACAAGCTGTCTTCTAAAATTTATTTTAGCTCTATATCTCCGGAATATATTTTTATGCCTGTACACTTTGGTAGTTTGACATTAGCAGAAAAAAGAGTAATTTGCCAGGAGTCTACTTTAGATAAGAACCTGAATGGTATATTTTACRGAGTTAACATGTATGTTTTCATGAAAAGAAGTTTCTCACGTAGTTTTACCTCAGGTCACAGCTGCTCCAATTAGCAAGATTTCGGAGTAAGGTAGGAGAAAGAGAGAGCAATCACTCCTGCATTTTTTACCTCTTGAGTGAGCTGTTCATGCCTGCATCAGGGCTGCATTGTGCTCAGGTAATGACTCTTCAGTTACCAAATGCGTATCACAATTATGTTGCAGAATAGCATGGGGTCTTAGTTGGCCATATCTTTAACAAAAGAGTATATTGGTATTAGTTTTGAGAAAGTTTTTATTTGTTGTCTGTGTGGTAGCAACTGAARTGCAGTAAGATTCTTTGGTGGACAAATCTATTACAATTTTCACATGAATTGGAATACTAAGGTAGGTGTATTTCCCATTTACATTCCATTACTGTTCACTTTCCTTGCTATTATGTGTTGTTTAGGCACACAGAATAGCGTTTTATTTTTATTCTAGTGAGAAAAACGCCTTCCTGCCTATGATAATTTCTTCACTTAACAATGGGTGAAAAAAACCCGTGTTTTTCACCATTTAGTGATTACTTTTTCACTTCCAGTCGTGAGCTGTGATTTTCATACTGAATTGATTATTTTCATACTGATTAATTATTAACTGTGAGGACAATCACATAGTCCTCTGTGAAATAATGGTTTGGGGATTATTGCAAGGACAGATGTATAGAATTGCTGAAAGTATGTTTTGTATCAAATCTCCACAGTACTGTGAAAAATTCAAATGTCAAGCATACGCTTTTGTGATTGCATGGCAGATTTCTGTTTTCACAGTTATGGGACCTTATGTGAGAAGAATCTTGTGTGATGAATTGGGAGCTCCTGCAAATTCTGCCATAAACTGTATTCCTCTGGAGGATTTTGGTGGACATCCTCCTGATCCAAATTTAACATATGCAACTGCCTTGCTGGAGGCTATGAAAGGTGGCGAGTATGGATTTGGAGCTGCTTTTGATGCTGATGGAGTAAGTATTTAGATCTGTCTTCAGGTTCATCATGGTTGTTGTTTTGTCTGGGGTCAGATACAGGACATGTAAGTATAATTTATTTGCCTTTCAGTAACCCATTGAAGCTGACAGTGCTATTACTTTCAGGTACAGATGGTAACAATTGCAACCCATAAATCAGACACATATGTTGTAATTTGTCTCTGCAGAAGACTGCAAATCAAGCAGGATTTCAAGGCAGAATGAGAATTATTTAAATAATCAGTCTGGCTTTGTCTTGTGCTGGCGTAACATTTTTCCCTGGTTAGGAGCAGACAGCACATAGATAATACAGACTTGTCACAGTAAACAGTAACGTTAAATCCTTTTTTGTTAGCATAATAAATTAAGGGCTTTTTAGCTAAATAAAGCAGTGAATCATAATCTCTGTTTATTTTATTTTTTTAATGTAATGTTGTCAGCATTCTAAAAAGCAGTTTGTTACAGAAGCAACTTTCTGTCCTGACAAGGTGGGAAAAGTATGAAAAGGTTCTGAAGAGCAAAAGCTGTTTTCTAGTCTCAGTAAACACAAAACACTCTCCCACTCCTGTAATAGTGTGTGTCATTGGCAAAAAGGCTCCTACTCACGCGTTCTCTTGGAAGAAGCAGAGATGCTAAAGTGACATATAGGAGGAAGAAGCTAGAAACTGATCTGGAGCTTTGATTTRCAAGGCAGGAGGGAGTTGATGGTATGACAGTGAGATTATGAACCTGCTGGGATAATGCCAGTAAATTTTTCTGCCCAGAGAAGGATGTGAATAACCCAAAGCCTATCCTTTTTTGTCTGCCTCCAGTGGATCTGGGARAAGAAATTATGTCTCCTCAATACATGGAATTTAGGATGCTATTTTGAATTTCTTTTCTTCTCYAGGACCGCTACATGATCCTTGGCCAAAATGGTTTCTTTGTTAATGCATCAGATTCACTGGCTATAATTGCTGCCAATCTGTCTTGCATTCCATACTTCTGTCAGATGGGTGTCCGAGGATTTGGCAGAAGCATGCCTACCAGCACAGCTCTGGACAAGTAAGATGAAATATTTATTTGTATCACCTTAGTCATTACATTASTTATCTCTACTTTTTATTACATAGCGATTCCAGAATTGTGACAACTTTTGGTAAGCGCTTCTAATTTTCACAGTCTTCATGTGCTTTATTTTTTAAACAAGATTTTGATTTTACCTAGACTAATTTTTCCCATCTTTACTTGCATTAAAAGAGTTTAATTCAGTCTGGAAGAGAAATAAATAGTTAGATCTAATGTACAAATATTTGGTAATTCTTTTTTCAGAAAACCTCACTCTTTTTATTAGAAAATAAAATGACAGTCATGGAAGTTTAAAACAGGTAAAGTAGTAATTCATACTAAACAACTATTCAAAAAACCAAAGCCTTCTTATTACAAACTGCTGAAGTATATAATCTGTTACAATATAAAATGTCCCAAAAGAGACTGCAGGCAGTTGAAACATCCATTCCCAGTTTCAAGACAGATTATATCTAAAACTATTACTGACAAATCCAATCTGCTCTTTAAAGATTTGCTGGATGAGTATCTTGTGTTAGCAGCTGAATTTTGAACAAGTTTCATCCAGGCCTAAATTTTCTGTAAATATCAAGATAAGCTGATTAAATATTACTGCCTTAATGTGTTCTGTGTGGAAAAAGCATGGGCTAAACCAGTGTTCATGTGGCTGCATAGCTTTAATAAGACAAGAGTGATCTGCTGCTTCCCTTGAATGCTCAGGAAACAGTCGTTTTAAAGTGAAATGTATCTTGTGTGAAAGGGTTGATTGCTCTGTCTACAGTTTGCCTATTCAGGAAGTTCTGAAAAGTTACTAAATTCAGAGCTTGCAGCTTCCTCTAATGCTTGACAGAATYTTCAGGAAAATATTCCTTAGTTGTGGGTGGATAGTCTAGTTTAAGGAAATACTGTTAGTCAGTGTTTGATGTATTTTATTTATTCTGTTCAGCAGTCCAGAAATCTGATTMTTGTTATATTAAAGTACAATATAAAATAAGTAGAGTTCATTTTGTATATAAACACCATATCTGCATTGCAGTAAGAACTGATGGAATGGTGACATTTAAATATGTTTGTGTGTCTTCTTTCATAAGGTTTGATAAATATATCAAAAAGCATGAACTGAAGTCCCCTTCAATAACGCAGTGACTGTTTGAGTTATATTCTTTGCAATGTTTACTTGATCTTCTGGCGCAAAAATCATCTCATGGTGATTACTGCCTTATTTAGTTTTGTGGAGCTGAGCCTGATTATTAAATAAAACTGAACAAGTGATAATGATGGAAGGATGTAAATATTTTCCTCTCCATTCTTACAAATATTTATTGTTATGGAATAATTGTTATGGAATTTTCTGTCTGTATCCAGGACACTTGATTTATTGATTTTCTATTTTATTTTGTAGCTCTCTGTGTTTTCTCAAAGACCTACAAGTTGCATGTTGTCATGTAGTTCAGTTTTCACACAGAACATCTAGTTCCAGCCCCTCTGCCCTGGGCAGGGACGCCTTCCACTAGTTGTGCAGCTCMGGCGATATGGCGGGGGCACTTGCTGGTGAAGATGAGGCAAAACTGCCATCGAATCCCTCAGCCTTCATATCCTGGAGAATCAGGTCTCCTGTTTGTTTCTGTAGAGAGTGCACATTTTTCCTTATCTTTGTTTTATCACCAGTGTACCTATAGGAACTATTCTTGTCACTTTTGACATCCCTGGCAAATGTAATTCTGTCAGATCTTTAGCTTTCGTAGCCTTATCCCCAGCTATTTGGGCAGTTCATCTGTATTCCTACAGGTGTCCCTGCTTCTTCCCTCTGCAGGCTTTCTTCTTTTGTTTAGGTTTGTGCATGAAAAGCTTGTTCATTCACACAGGCCTCCTGGTCTTTTTGCCTGACTTCCATTTTGGTGGGATGCATCTCTGTCAAGCTTGGAGGTGGTGTTCTTTGAATGTTACTCAGTTTTCTTGGTCCCATCTTTCCTCCTGGACTTTATCCCAAGGCACTCTATTGAGCAGATCCTTGAAGAGGCCAAAGCCTGCTCCCCTGAAGTCCAGGGTAGTCAGCATAGGTKTCATGTTGAACTGAATTCCAGTTACATGTGTCTGTAAACATAAGAAAAAGTTCTACAAATGCCAAGGACATCTCACAGTGGGACAGTGGTGTAAAAGAATGTACATAAGACATTCGGGATTCCTTTAATCCACCCCATTTGTGTGATTTTCTAAAACTGTTTGGCTTTTGCCTTCTTTGCACCTACTAAATATTTAGTGTGGGCTCTTCACCACCAGCATTTTCTGTCARAAAATATCCATTTGCTCCACGATTTTTCTCGCCCTGAGCTGCAGGGTAATCTCTGCTCCAGTGCYTGCAGCATCTTTTCCTTGCCTCCCTCTTCTCTGACCTTAGTGTTCCCATGGCTGTTTCTTCCTCACTCTCCWTTTTTGGACAGCTTTTTGGCCTTTAAAAGTATGTTTTCCCAGAAGGGCAGCAGCTTGGTTGCTCGGCTCATCTATGTCCATCTGGGTCTGTTGGAGCTGATAGGAATGGTCGTGTCTGGTGTGGGGCAGTCAGGGCCCCTTCTCATAGAGGCCACCCCTGCAGCCGCCAGCTAACAAACCCTACCATGTGCACCCMGTACAACATCTAAACCAAATCTTATATAGTTAAATATTGCTSTCATATCTGTCATTCAAATTGGTATTTATTTCATTTGAGGTAGTAGATGCATAGCAGATCTTCATAAATTCAGATATTAAGTGATAAACTTCGTTCATATTCATACCAGTCTAGATCCATGGGTTTCTTAGATGTGTCCCACTTACCCTGGTAGATTTGAAGTATGACAGCTTGAGTTAGTCRTAATTTGGCCTTTTATGCCTATGTAGTACCATTCAGTTCCATGGAAATACTTGTTTAAAAGTACTTTGAAAAGTCTATTTTGTTAGTGAATGTGAWGAAATAAATAAAGGAAGAGGACTTTCTTGCCAGCTCTTACCTACATTGTAACATGTAGTCGTAACAAGGGAGGGAAARCATATTTGATAAGCAGAGTACTTTAAAATTCTGCTGTGCCGTTGAGTGCTGATACATCTTATTTTTTGTATTTTCTTGTTACTATGGGAATAGAGAAACTGTGTTAAAATAAAGAGGATTGGAAAGGACACAGCAGCATTTATAATAGTAGGTTCAGTAGAATAGCAAAAGAAGTACCTATGAAATGAAAAGAGGTTTATGTTTTACTTAGTAGTCTTCCTGAAGAAGTTGGGAAATTGTAACTTTAAGCCCACCTAACCAGGATTTAATAATACAGCCACTACTCCATGGGAGACTAAAACAATTGGAAATCTTTTCCCAACCAGTATAGGAGACTAGGGAAATAGAGATAATGGTGGTTAGAAGTATCTTGTGTGTGAAACATCCCTTCATGCTTTTTTCTTGAGAGAAGGTGGAATTCCGTTTGARGTTCTTTTGCATTTGATGATGTCATTGCAATGTCTCTGGCATCAGTTATTTTCATGAAGATAACTGTTTTCATGAAAAGCCCACTATTATCTGAATGGTGTAATTTGATTTGTATTTACAAAATTATTGGTACTGTAATGTACTCAACCGGCTCTTTTGGCTGCTTCTGAGCCTTGGTAATAAAAGTAGATCTCTGGGGGAACTGAATCAATCCCTGTTTACTRCTGTCTTCTAAGGTCATGGAGGTTTTTCCTGATGTCTATGTTAGAGAGCAAATRAAAGCCACCACTTTGTATGATGTGTCCATGTTGTGTGGCCACAGTTTAGCCTAAATAATTGAAGCAGAGCTTTTCTTTAGCTGTATTAAAGAAAAAAATAATGCACAGCAGTATAAAGAAAGAAAATTTGTTCTTTTTTCACTTGTATGCATGATGTGTTGCTTAAGACTTGCTAAAAGGGCATTATTAAACTTAAATAGAAGGAGGCAGTAATCCAAAAGACTTTAAATGTTGCYTAGGAATATGGCATTACCAAATGGAGCAGTGAATTACGAGAGAATTCACTCAAAATATTTAACATTTGCRTGTGTTTGATTGAAGTGACTGCTGGAATATACTAGTATGTACTGTAGTGAGAGGATAACACTTGACAGGAAACATCTGCTTTAATATGCTCCAACATCAACAGGATTGTGGCAGTACGTCTCCAGACTTCAATTCTCTGGCATTCTTTTAGGTACCCTTAGGCTGGTGTTCTTTCTTTTTGTAAGGAATGTGAACTTGCATTCCCTGTTCAAAAAACTATTCTTGTTTCGTATCTTTGTATTCTGATTTATCTGATGCCTGCATAACAGGAAAGGAAATTAAATACTGAGATGTTAGCTAACCATGTACAAAATGAGAATCACAAGGGTGAATAAAAATTGTTCCTGTAGGAAATACGAAGCTGGGTGTGTGTGTAAAATAGCAGTCAAGAAGGAACTGGAGAAAAGGGTTTGTGAGAGAATACTACTGTGACTAGCATCATCTGATAGGTTGTTTCTACGGCAAGATTGTTTCAACAGCGTAGGTGCTTTGACTACACTTAGCCTGGGCAGAGCTAAGCACCTTACTGTGCTGCCCCCTGCCACTTTACATCTGGTAGCCCATCTCTCAATGCAGCTTTGACACATCTGTGCTCTGCTGATCGTGTTTATTGTCTGGTCATTTAGAGCCAGCTTTTGAGGGGGGCTGCAGTGACAATGAGTGTTCTGACTAAAGAAATGTCCTCGTGTGGTGAAGGACAGAGATGCTATAAGCACTAGCCAACCTGTCTTGGTTGCAAGAAGGAGGCTGACCCTCTCAGCAAGAGACATTGCTGGTTTGAGTGGGGTCCATTTTGTCTGAACCACACCATGAAGCTTTGCTTAGAGCATATAAACATTAGGYTGGAAAAGACAGATCATCTTCCAGTCTTCCTGTTCTTGTTCCTGTAAGATCATGAAGTCCAACTTTCTTCCAGTCTTCCTTAGTTGTTCCTGTTCCTTTTCCTACTTTTCCCCACC